TTATTTTTGTTTCTTTCTTTGTGAGCAATAGCTAGGATGGCTGTTCAGTTTTTTATAATTCCAAAACAACGCAACTTCCTCATTTTTAATTCTCTCAATTCCTGTGCAGTAGTGAAATATCATCTTTTCCCACTCCTTCAGATATTTTTACAAGTAAAGTCTGTAAGTCTTTTGGTCTCAAATACCTTGATGCCTTCACTTAAATAATCTTAAAACAGAAGTGTTTTGTACACGAGTCTTTTGTCACTGAACTTTGCCATCGTTATTCCAGAAATATGGTACCCTGAGGCATCAAGTCAGAGCTAACCTTCGCACGTTTGTCCACCGTTCATTCTAATATCGATTCTTCCTTCCCCTAAAGTGTACATAACAGCATGTGTAGTATTTTTGGCACCTGTTGTTCATTAAATGCGGTGAGCACACCACAGGAGAAATGAGAGCAAGTATAACAAGAATTAGAAATTATTATGTAGCTGGATAATCACACAAAACTGATGTTTTAATTATTAACAAGGCCAATAGACAGGTTTTGACATGGAGAGTAATAGCAAGCTGGTGAAGGATGTTAGAAATTTTCTGCTTGTTGCGTTTTTGTGTTAATGAAAAAAAATTAGTATGTCTTCCACTTTGGGACCAGAGAGTTAAGGGAAGGAGTGGGATAAGAGCAAATCAAAATGAGCTGGTGAATTTCTGCAGCTAACTAATGGATCTCAGTAACCTCTTTAAAGCACACTTTCTAGAGTATCTGTTGCCAGCATCGTCTTTCATCAAACCTACAGTGAGCATGGCTGCTGCTGGTTTTTACCGACTGCTTAAAAAAGCTAAAGATGGCAGAAGGTGTTCTGTTACCTCTTCATTGGTAAGACCAGAATTTACAGTGCTGGGCTAAAGAATTATCTAAACAGGAGGCAGAACCCCACTGCATCTTCTGCTGTTCTAACCAAATACATCTGAAGTGTTTTCCCTCATGGATACATTTAGGAGAGATCTATAAAGCAGGCCTCAGGCTAAATTTGGCATTTGAACCTGAATAGTTTTATAAAGCATGGCATTTTTCAAGTAGGAAACCAGTAAGATGTGTCTGAAGGCAGACACAAACAACATACTGAAAACTAATAATTGACCTGTGTTCCGGAGTGCCTCTTTGTCTGCAGCAGTGCATAGCAGCTGGCTTACACACTTTTCATTAAAGAGTAAGCTTTCTTGCATTTACCACATAGTAGGAATGTGCATGAAGTGTAGTACTTGTTGAACATCTGATATATGATAAATTCATATCCTCCCTTATTTTGCAGTAACTTGCTTATGTCTCTGTATTATGAGGCCTAATTCCTTTTAATATATCTGTGTGTAGGCAGAAGATGGGAAATGCTCTTTTTTGCAGAGGTTGGCAATGGTTGTTTATGCAAGAATAACTCGTGGGCTCTATCAATGCAGTCATGAAGCCATCTGTACTGGCCGGTCTGGATAACTACAGGTACATGCTGCAGTCACTCATAGGCAAGAAAGGTGATGACAGCTGTCTATGCAGTGTATTCCTGGATGCACTAGGAGACTTTAGTTGGTTGTATTGCATGTATGCTTAGGGCTTATCTGGATTCATGTTGGACTTGAACTAATCATCCCTCCTGGAGAGCTGAGACACACCCAACTGGCTCTGCAGCACTGACTCTCTGCAATCAAATGTTTCTGCATCTCTCAGCATGTTCAGTGTTATCAAGGTTATCTCCTCAGTAGTTTGGGGATGGAAGACTTAGCGGTAGGTCTGCATTATGCATATAAATACTACACCTCACAGTCCTTCAGTCAACACGTTATTCCTGCTTTAATGATTGAAAAATGATCACTGTTTTCAAAGACTGTACAACAGTTTTCAACAAATCACTGCCAGGAACAGTATAAAAACCAAGGGTACTGTAACCACTAGACCTGTATTTTTCTTGTCTTCTTCATCTGTGGGGTCTGTATGTATCTGGATATATAGATGCATGATGGGTGCAGTATTGTTTCCAGAAAAACCTATGTTTTGCCCCTCTAAAGTCGTACTCGACATTCTGTAGTAGTTAAGTTTTTGAGTGATCAAATCTCCTTAGTTTTGATTTCTTTGACAGGTTCGGAGAAGCACTTAGTGGGCGTTTTTCTAAAAGTTGGTAGAGATTCAAAAATAGTGCACAGGATGAAAAGAGTGAGATCAGTGTTTATGATAACCTTCTGACTTGCGCTCACGCTGTGAGTTGTCCACCTTCGTACTGGTTGCATGAGCCTGTCTGTGTGAACCTCAAGGCCTTGGGCTGCCATTTTGGGAGGTAAGGAGTTAGTTGGGGATGGAAAGGCTGCAGTTTGTATTCTTTCTGCTCTATCACCCATTGCTATCTTCATGGATCTGACACTCTGTTTATCTGACAGTGCACTCAGTACTGCTTCGCCAGGGAAATTGCACAAAACAAGCCCAGTGCATCAGCATTTTCATTGTGTGTTGAGCTGAGCCTCCCTTCACATGGTCACATCTCCTTTTTAATCTGGGATTCCATGTCCCTTTCCCAGTCCAGCCTGTTTCTGTGGTGTCTATTGCTGGTCTCCCTGAGCTTCTGTTTCTGTGATTTGAGTGTTTTTTGTGTGGCTGAGTGTTAAGACCTACAGGACTTTTGGAAGTGGCGTTGTTTGGGGTTTAGGCAATACACTTGATTTAGGGTTAGTGGTTTGTGACAGACTGAGGTGATGGCTGCGTTCAAGTTGGATTTCCTCCCAGAGATGATGGTGGACCATTGCTCCTTGAATGCTAGCCCTGTGTAAGTATTTTCTGTCTTCATATCTAGTTTTATAGTTATGTTGATAGTTGGAATTGCTGCTTCTGAAGCCTTTACTGTCTGATGAATCCCCCTGGAAGGGGGAAAAGAAAGGAGTAAGAGAGCTTGCAATTTGTTTTTTCTTGAAGAAATCCCAGTGGGCATTGATAGCTGATGTTGGTTTCTGGACCAGGGGGGAAAACATTATTTTTCTGTCAGTGAATTTTTGGGAGGAGGGGTATGCAGGATAAAGCTATTTGTCAGTGCTGTTTACAGTATGCTACGGGTGCTGGTGCCATGAAATCAGTGGTTGAAATCTGTTGTTGGGAGAACAGTTCCAGTTCTTCCCTATTAATGGGTTTTAATCCGGAATAAAAATCTTTTAACCGGGAATAAACCTTTTAATTGGGAATAAAAGATTCCTTGAAATGCTGCTGGGGTCATGTTAAAAGTCAGTTAACAGGAGCCACACTATACTCTTGAAGCTACCCTTGGGAGAGAAAGCAGTGCTGGAAGTTAGTGCTGGGGGAGGGTAAATGATTTCCAGGTGCTCACTGTCAGAATGGAAAAGCCTGTAGCTCACCTCTTTGTAAAAAGGTATTGTTTGCTTTGATGGTTAGGGTGGTGTTGGCCCTTTCTGAGGGGGAAGGTCAGGACAAGTTAAAGGACTGATGATGATTCCCTGACTTCCTAGTAAGAAGCCTTGTGCTTTCTGAGGTCTGCTTTGTAGAGTTTCAGAATTATGAGCTCTTTCTGGCACCAGTTTTTCCTTGGGTTCAGAATAGCAGCATACTGAGGCGGGGAAACAATCAGATGTTCTGCATATACAAATAAGCAGAATTTTGACAAAAGCTGACAGAAATTAATGACTTTTAAATTACCTGGTTTTGGAAATTCTTAATACCAGGGAAGAAGATGATGGCAGGTGGGCAATGGGAGGAGCGCTGTTTCCCATAATCTGCAGTTAATAAGCCATTCAGTAAAAATCTTTGAAGAAAAACGGCAAAGGCAGAGAGAACTGACTAGCCTGGAAGAAGGCTGATCCTTTAACAAAGAGTTCGGGGATGGGGGGGGGGGGGGTGTAAATCAAGCCATAGTTACTATTCCCCTCCCATGTCCTTTCTAGATTATGCAGGGATTGTCAGCAGTTTTATCGTACCAGTCGCTATAGCCGCAGTAGGGTGTCATTGCAGATAGTCTCCCACCAAAGACTGGTCCTGTGGAATATGAGGCTTTGGCTACTGATAATAAGACCTCGCATTGCACTTGGCGAGCAACAAGGAGTCAATACAGACAGCGCTGTATGGCTGACAGCTTGTTGTGTAGAGTATAACATAGCCAGTTTTGTTAAGAGGCTGTAAATTGTTGACGTTGCTCAGTATAGTGCCTTGAAGCCGATTGAAGATCCGCATGCTCAAAACTTCAGGGTTGCTGTAGTCTTAAGAAATAACTCTTCTTCTCTGTTAGCACTCTACTGTTACTCAGTCTGAGTCACTCTATGACTAAATAGATTGTCCAAGCCCAACCTGTTCAGGTTCAGCCATAACCTGAGCCTGCTTTTTGCAAGATATTGTTGAAAGCTTCCTGGTTTCACAAAAAGCTCTTGTACTGTAAACCTATCATGGGACTTATCGTGTCTTCAGCTGTGCTCTTTTCTCTGTTTCAAGATGGATCTTCACCCTGGGGAACAGTTGCAGATAGTCGCATTTAAACAAATACAATTTTTATTCTCTCATCTTCACTCTATTAATACCACTGTATTAATACTACATTAATGGCCTGTGAGTAGACTGAGTTTAGGCTCCTTTCTGCTCTGGTTTCTTCAACTGTAAAATTTCACAGGGTTGAGCTCATGGTATTTTTCAGTCACCTCAGCAGATTTATGTCCTGAATCCTAAACGTTGACTGCATTCTAAGAGCAAACATTAGGAGAGGTTTAGCTGTATAGGGAGCATTTGGTTTCCAAGTACACAACCAATGAATGTGAACAGCATGTGTGAATATTTTCTAATATGCAGGACTGTGAAGGTGCAAGAATCTCTTTTCAAATATATATGTGTGTGTGTATATAGGAGGGTGTTGTGTGTGTATATGTGTGTGTGTGTGTGTATATACACACACAAATTATCTCACTGTAAATGTGCTTGTAGCTGCAATAGCATCTGGAATCTATGGAAAGATAATATAACAGAAATTCCGTGTTGTTTTTCATAGCTCAAAGAAAATGAATGGCACACTGGATCACCCAGACCAACCGGATCTAGATGCTATCAAGATGTTTGTGGGTCAGGTCCCACGGAGCTGGTGTGAGAAGGATCTAAGAGAACTCTTTGAACAGTATGGTGCTGTCTATGAAATCAATGTCTTGCGGGACAGGAGTCAAAACCCTCCTCAAAGCAAAGGTGAGAATTTTTCATGTGAGACTTCAGGTTTCAGCTGCTTTCACACAATTACATTCTTCCCTGTTTGTTTGTTCACCCATCCCTTTCTCTTGGAGCTCTGTGTGCACGCAAGCCTAGGCTTTATATTCGTTAGCTGTTTGTGTCTCAATATAGTTGTCCTTGGACTGTGATCCAATTGTTCAAGTGAGCTGAGGAAAACTAGACTTTTTGGGAGGCCAGAAGTAATGGCAGTGCTTGTAAAGTATAGGTTATAAATGCAGAGGAACATCTTACGACCATTGTGGTGCTGTGGCATGCTACAGTGTTACTGAAATGTCATGTTTTTAGATAAGATATAAAAAGGAGGTCTTAGACATTTCTGTCCATGGAATATTTTAAGAGGACGCTAATCCGATATCGTAGGATTGCCCTTAAATCCTACGGAGTGCCCTTAAAATGACAGATGAAAGAACTTTGTTAAAAAGTGGCTGAATATATCTAGGTAAAGATTTATGTCCTACTTTTGTTCATATATTCTAACTGTGTTTTCCTCAGGTATTTATAATGTGACTCATGAGAACAAGGATTTATTGTGACCTGTTCTCGGAGTTTACAGCTGATCAGCATGTGCGTTTTACTTTCTATTGTTAGAAGTTGTGTTTTTTTTTTTTAAAGGTAAAATGTGAGTATTAGGAAAAACTTGGCTGATACCAACTAATCATTAGTTATTAGGGAATAATTGGTACTGATCAGTGTCAAAAAATGCCATTGTCTTAGCCTTTGAAGCTAAAATAAACAGCAGACAAGGAGCAATGAGGTTTTGAGGCTCATGCCTAGGCTCTAGAGTGTATACTGGTTTAAAATTAGTAAAGCAGATTACATTAACCTGCATTTCAGCCTGTACTCAAACACATTCCTGTCCGAGTCCCTAAGGCTTATTAAATGAATGAGTAAAGAGAGTTTAACCCAAGAGAACGGGAATGGAAATCGTGATGGATGGGACCTTAGTTATGAATGCTGTTATGAATGCTGTCCAGCTTCTACAAAAAGAGAGGGAGGAAGCATTTGAGGGAATATACCCTCTGTGGACTTGCAGTTCTGCACTGGCACTTAAGCTTGAGAAAGGGGTATAGACTGGAAGAAAACAAAGTCTTTTATTCAGCTTGTAAGCAGCAACAAAGAGTTCAAAGTTGAGGCCCGCATCATGACTATATTAACTGTACTTGCTTTTGGAGGCAAACAGTTTATACTGGACCAAGAATTTTCAGTCTGGTGTCATCCTTATTTTCGAAATAAGTAATCTGAGAATTGCTGGAGTGCAACCACTTTGCATATCAGGGACCATCCAGACAAGACCAGATTCTGTTTCCAGGATTCAGGCCAAAGGCTACATGTTACTGACTGAAAGTAGGAAAAAATGAATACTGACTAGTATGTGCTGGTAGTCAGTACTGGCTGGGCAGTGTAGAGTCTGTATGAAAAAAAAAAAGTTTCGTTTTCAAGTTACTAAGAGATAGCACATTAATTGGCAAGGTGTTTGAACCATCATACAGGGTGGTAAAATACCGTGGTTTATAGAAGAGATGACAGCTTTAGCCAAGAATTGTTTGGCAGATGTATTTAGATGACTGCATGTTTTAATAATGTATTTGTGGTGCTGGGGTAGTTCTGAATGAATCCTACTTTATTACTTTTTTTTACTGGGAATCTTTTTGTAAAAGGTCACGATTAGTAACACTTAACCTATTTGCATGTCTGCCCTCTCTTGCCTGTCAGGTATTTTGCATCAGAAGGGTAGAAGTGGGACTTGTAATTTCTGTACAGCACAGCAAGATACAGAGTGTTCCTTCTTGGCTAACATTTTGTTTCAATTGCAGGGTGCTGTTTTGTTACATTTTATACCCGTAAAGCTGCACTAGAAGCACAGAATGCTCTTCACAACATGAAGATCCTCCCAGGGGTAAGAGGAAAAAGCATGTTTTTCTTCACAACTCTAGCTAGTCTTTCTGAGCTCTGGCACCACGATGTACAAACATATGTTACCTTGCCCTCTGAAGTCGTGGTTTAAGAGAACAGTGTGAAAGAGCAAGGTCATGAGATTTATATGATAATAAATCTTAGAAGAATTTTGGAGTGTTTGGAGGAAGAGTGCAGTAATTAAGTGGGTGGTGTGGCTGCTATAATAATAGTTTCTGAGCAGGAAAGATGGCATATTATTAGGAAGTACACAAGAAAAGCTCTCTTTCTCCTTCCAGAAATCTATGTATTGTCGCATATGCCGTTCTCAAGAGGCACTTCGGGTTATCCTCTCTTGCTTCCGCTGCTCTTGTGGGATGTGTTTTTTCTAGTATAAAGTGAACGCGTTTAGGATTAAATGATGTTTTTGCATTTCAGATGCACCATCCTATCCAGATGAAACCAGCTGACAGTGAAAAGAATAATGGTAAGCTTTACTAAAGTCTGAGTTTTGTGGCATCGTTAATACTAATACAGAAACTTCAGGTTTTCCTTTTGTTGAACAGCTTCTGATAGAAGTCTTCATGAATTGGAGACCTGCTTTAAAAAAAAAAAGTGTGCTTTTAGTACAGTAGGTAGTGTAAGTGATGTCTCTAAGATTCTGTGAGTCTGTCTCTCCTGGTGCCTGTGGCAAAACCATGATGCCAGTTGGTGAAACATCCCTAGTGAGTTCTTGTTGGTACCGAGATCATTTAAATCTAGAAATGCTTTTTTGAAAGTCCTTTGCCAATTTGAAGCAAGGCCTATTGCAGCTTCAGTGGGACTCAGAATATCATCTTTTAACACATAAGGGAGAAACAGAATTCAGAACATTCCTGCAGAGAGAAGACTATGAATATATTTACATATATGGGCCAGTCCAGGTGGATTAAGATGTTTAGTACCTACCATTGTGTAAGTGTTGATTTATCTATGTATTTCCATGATGAGTTTTTCATATATATAGATATATATGTGTGTATGTATATGTATAAAATACACATGCTCGCATGCACACACACACATATATAGAAGTATATGTTGCTGGCTACAACATTGTGATTTAATAGCCAGTTAAAGTCTTGTCAACTGAAATAGCTTGGAGTTTTCCTCTTTAACATCATAGGCAACTCAATGAATAAGCTGATTTCGCTGCCTCCACCCTCCCCATTGCACAGAATAGAAGACTCTCTCCCTTGAAGCTTCAAACTGTGCTACAGCCTTCGTCGTATTTATACTGTGTTGGATATTGTATTTGCAAACTGTTCTATGTTCCCAGATATTATTCTGGATACTTTGCTTCATCCCTTAAAAGTAGGTATTTCGGATGGTGATTGGTATTTTTAACCAAGTAAAATGGGAGGTGTAAAGTTCTGCTCTGGATTTGAATTTATCCTGCTCCGCCTAATTGATTGCTAACTGATAATAGTAACCACTAACTGACAAGTGAGGAGAAATGTTTGTATCTGGACCGTGTATTTTAAAGTAGTCCACACACTGAAAGGTGTTCTTCTGCACTTAGAGATAAGATGTGGTAGCACAAGCAGTCTGTCGTTCTGATTTGAGGTGTCATTTTCATGCTCTTACTACAGATTAGAATGGATGAATATGAAGCGGAACTAAAACAGTCGCTGTTGCTTCCACTGTTGAGACAGGATCATGAGGAAATAGGCAGAACTAAGTTTAAGTGATTGGCACGATGAAGAGGGTAATCTAAAGGGCTAGACAGAAGCCTTCTGCAGGTAACTTGCTTGTTTAGATATAGGATAGGCATGTTGACAGTCTAAAGATAGAAGAGACAGAGGAGGAGAAAGGATGAAAGTAGTCCAGTAAAATACATACAGCTCTTCTCTCACTCACCAGGAGGAATGAACCGTAGGAGTTGAGGGAAAGTGCTGCATCTGTCTGATGCAGTTTTTTCTTTTCTTACATACTTGCAGTTCATAGGCTTGAAAGGAAGAAAGATTCATCTAAATATAAGCATAAAACACCTCTAGACATCCTGCAGGTGTATTGAAATATTTCATATACATTCTTTTAAATGAAAAAGCTGCAATTAACTGGGAATCTGGTTTTGGCAGGCCCCTACTCTAAGTACAAGGGGAATAACCCTAGAGTTGTCAAAGAAGACGATTTTACGCCAAGAGATCTAACAT